TAAATTTGAATGTATAGAATTTTTAGCATATTCAATACTAATAATTTATGCGCGAATTATTATGAATGCATTAAAATGTGAAAAAAACGTGCGAAGGAAAAATTTGGATAATAAAAGGAATGGCGCAGGCGCAAACTTCAGCGCGGGGACAGTAAAAGCTTTCTCCGAAAGGACTTATGGTTTCAGTCGCGCGTGGCCTTCGAAAGTGTTTAGGTGTAGTGTATGCACAGAAATTAAAATTGGTATCGGCAATAAATGCCCTATTTGTTACGTGCCAAATGTTTCTGTAATTCTTTTTATTTAACCGCGAGTGTTTTTATGTTACGATAAACTGCTAAATTTATTGTTTATCGCATGGTGACACACATGAAGGATTTTAACGTTTCCTCGGATCCTGGCGGCATGTCTACATATGTTAGAAACACCGGCACTCATCTGTCAACGTTGACAAGAATCTTGGGCGTGTGTACTGCAATTGGTAAGTAAATAGTAATTATAAAATTTTAAGTACTTTCACGATGAATATGTAACATCAAGATCAACGATGTTGCTTGTTGTCTTTTTTTCTGTAGTAGTTTAAAAGATAGATCTACGACGTAAATAATCAAGTGCGTTTATTTTATAAGCTTAAATTTCTTTCTTTTTTATTTATTATTAATTCGCGATTCAATAAAAAGAATCTTGAATAAAACACATTATATTCTTATTACTTCGTGAATTTGAAGGATTTTATATATATTTATAGAATATAAAACAGAACTGATAATGAGTGTCAACATATTAAATTATTAGAAAAGTACAAATCGTCTTGCAGTAATTACAATTTAACAGTGTTGGAATGGCATTTCAGTTAATTAAAAGTATTCAAAATATTTGTTTTTCTCTTTTATCAAATGCTTCCGTTATGTTGTAACATTGTTACATAATTAGATTAAAAAAAAGTGCTATTGAAAGAATTTTCATACGAATTTAAGATGTAATGCAATGCAATTTATATTATTTAATTCTTTTACGAAAAATTATTTCTTATTTTTATATAGCATGTATTCAAGGACGCTTAACACATTTAAAAAACGTATTAAACTTCTTGGAAATTGTATTTTTGTTCTTAAATGCGAAATTACTTTTTTTTCTGACGAAAAACAGCTTGTTACATAAGTATTCGATATTTGAAAATTGTTTCTTGCATTTTAAATAAGGCATTAAGTTTTCGAGAGTTTTGCTTTCCTTGTTCACTACGTTGAATACGCCACATAGAAACGAAACTCGAGCACTAATAACAGCGCCGGGGATCGTATTCACGTCGCCTTTTCATCTTTTGACATTTTTTTTTTTTTTTTTGCTTAAATACGAGTGTTAATTTTATAGGAGTGAACATAAATCTTAGTTTTTTATGGTACAATGATAATTCAAAAATTAGAATGTATCTTGAACCTAGAAGTCGCAATGATAAATGCATAATAATAACAATAACACAACAACAATCAGCAATAATAACAACGTTAATAATTACGTCTTTGTTACACATTTTACAAGTTTAAAGGCAAGATTTAGCAAGAGTTGTTATTATGTCTAACCTATAATCTAGTTTCAAGTGAATCATGACGATTTGATATGCGTAGAATGATGCGCATTAAACACCAATGATTTAATCGTATTTATTTAGATTCCGTAGTGTCACGTGCACAATCTTTGTACAATCCTTCGTTGTATGTGTAGAATCCGTTATTTTTGAAACGAAATCTTACGAAAAAATGTTATTTTAAATTCTTTAATTTCAGTACATTATTCTATAGTGAATTGTGTCACTAATTGCACTTGTTGATTAAGACAGGAAAAATGTTTGGAAAATATTAAAGTATTTTTAATTTTATGTATAAAAAACTTTACTAAAATTTTGTAAAATGAAAGTACATTTTTGACACAGTTGCAGCATACTAAAATGATTCCGACACCGGTTTTACGTCAGTTACACTGTATAATGAAATAAAGCACAAGGTAGAACATGTTATGTAGAGATGTCATTTTTTTTGGCTGCTTTATAATTCCATTTTCAGCTTGAAAAATATCTAACTTCTTAAAACAGTCGTAAACAGTGAAAATTTTAAATAAAAGCTGTTGTAATATGTTTGTATAGTACAGTAAACCTTTTAACACTCGAAGTTCTGTGAACAACAAGAAAATAGGGATTGTGACCTTGAAACTAAGCGAAATAGTTTCGCGAGATATTTCTTTTTCGAGAAACTGTTGTCCAGAAATAAAAATTATCAAATTTAAAAAAGAGAAGGGAAATATTTTATATTTTCTCTTGAACATAAAAGTAACAGTTAATATTAAATCTAATAAGTTACAAGTAAAAATAAAGTTAATTGGACTTGTAAAATTAATTTTGCTTTTGCTTTCGTTTTAATGGAATCTATAAAATTAATTTTTTTTTGGTTAATTAAAGGAGAGAAAGAAAAAAAGGTATTTTGTTAAGAGAATTCTTAAATAATGCTGTAAATTTTAGGTAATTGAAGTTCCCAAAATATTAAACTAAATATTAAACAGAATCAACGGAATCGAGCCAATTATTAAACAGAATATTATAATAGTATTTTTGTGACATATGTACATATCTCGGTTTTCGATGTATCAAAGACATTTATTTAAACCGAAAATGTAATTATTTTTAACGCTGCAAAAACAAATAATGAACACACTTTTCACCATTGTGGAACGAATTTTATAAGGCTTTATCAGCTTTTAGGATAGTATTATTTCTACAAAATTTTTTTACAGAATTTTTAGAATTTCTAAAAAGTAAAAAATAATACAAACGTAAAAATATTAAGAGACGTGCTTTTTTCTAATTACGTTATAAACATAGAGGAGAATAGTGTGGAAAAAAGAGAAACTAACGAAAATCTACGTAATAATTGTAATATTACCCCAAAAATGTTAGCCAAATAAACCTCACGTAAAGAAAAACATTTTTTTCCTATTTTGACGATTTCAATGCAAATTTCGCCGCATTAATTGCAATTTTGACTTTCACAAAATTCCAACATATTTTAAACAATATCTCAATCGTGCATCAAGGTAAAAAGAAGCCAACAATGCATGTACGTATATATCAGAACATTCAATTGAAAACTGAAACTAGCCAGGCCGCTGACTTAGCGTGAACGAGCTCGAAGCAATTCTCGACTATTAATATTTAGTGTGCCTAAAGAGGCTCGCGCGATAGACGGTGGCTGGGTTCTCTCAGCGTTATAAAAACGAGAAGCAGAAGAGCCGTCGAGAGTCGAGGACACGGTTCGTTTCGTACTTTTAAGGGGAAAACGTTCGCGGAATTTCATTCTTCCGTAATGTTTATCTTTCTGTTTGCCGAACTTTAAGGCAATCGAGTTTTTCTGAACATTTCCACCGGATCTGCGTATCATTTCGCCGAAGCGGTGTGACGATCGAAAACCGAGAAGAAAAATCGCGTGGATTAACGTCGCGTATTTTTCTACCACGGTTTTCGCACTCTCGCGGTGGGAAAATATTTTCCCTCGCGTCGTGTCGATGAAACGGCCAAATGGAAAATGACCCCGTTGCAAAATGGTGTTTTTTGTTTCGGCGGATCAGAGGTATACCACACGACACTGTGACCGCCACGATTTTTATCGGCATATTTTTATTGGTTTCAAGCACGTCCAGGGTAAACGAATTATCAGGGATGGAAACATCGAAGAAAAAAAAATTCGAAGAATGAAACTAGAGTTATGCTTTGCATGTGTCTCGAACAAATCTTGTTCCGGCATTGTTTGCTTATCGAGTTTCGCGGCTGGAATTTCATTTTTCTCGATGTTTGCACCGAATTCCCTGGATATGTGAATTTGTTTACCTTTCCATTTTATTGCTTCTTTTTTTCTATCTTTATTGTTATTTTCGTTTTGTTTGCGCAGATGTCGGTAAAAATTTACCGGTCGGTAAAATTTGTTCTATTGTTAATCGCTTGGGAATATACATATTGACTTTTCTACAGGTTTATATAAAATTTTGAAGGAAGAATATATTCAATTTAATTTAGAATTTTTCAAATTTCTAATTTACAATTTTTTTTTAAAAACGAATTCCCTTGACAAAGTGTTGGATTTTTGTAAATCTTTGATATCATGAATTCTTTCAAATAATTTCAATAAAAATTTGTTTAATTATTAAAATTCAAATTTTTTTTTTTAATAGTGCTTATTGAAATGAATTTTTAGTGATTTACTATTACTGCTTGCTGGTAAATGAGAAATCTATGGAGTGTGCAATTTTAAACCTTTCATAATCTAGTTAATCTTCGTGCTTTTTTCCCATGAATATGTTGAACCTCTGAAAAACGAATTCCTAAAGCATTTGTGGCTTCCAATTCTAGTTTCAAAATTGTATATTGATCGGTGTCAGACTCGAAAAGATAGAAATTTCCCCGTTAGCAGAACACTATACGGAAATTGTTTTTTCATTTGATACAAAACGCGTTGAAAAATTGTAAGATATCGATACCTAATATAAATCAACATTTAATGTTGTTTTAAGAATAATTTTTTAACTACACTTCAATCCATATTTGCGAAGTTTTCAATTTCCAAGTTTTATTAATTTATTTTAATTAAACACAGTTAAATTTTGGTTGTATTTCTATTTATTATAATTATTTCAACAATTTATACAACATATTTTTGCAAAACTACTTTTTCGCGTTAGTTAATGTTTTCTTATTGGAATTCTCCTTAAAGAACCTTTAAATAGAAAAACAAAATAGATGCGGCGAAATTCGCACAGAAATCGTAACAGAAGTAAATTTCTTCTGTAAAAGTAAGTAAAAAATGTGGTAATGTGTAAAGTAAAAAGTTTTTCTTTATGTGGGGTTTATTTTCGGGAAAGTCAGTTTTGAAATTTGCTGAATAAATTTACATTTCGTTAAGCTCAGCTTTAACATATTTTTTCACAAAATTTTCCGAGGTGACTTTATTCAAACGAGTATGATAATAAGAATGTTTCGATAAACTTCGCTTATTTTATTAATCAACAAATTTCTAATGTTTATGTGCACAACGTTCAATTCTACCTTTTATCTTATTCTGTACGAGAAAGCATAGATTATACTACTTATAGTATACAAGTTATACTACTGAACTTTTGGGCAACAGAAAAAAATAATGTTTTTCAGAAATTCTTGATCACCATAATGTAGGACATCAAAAACCATACAACTTTGAATTTTACGTTTTTCCCGTATCTTATACGGTTTCGTAGATATTCACGATAATATGAAAACTGATAATTTTAACAAGAAGCTGTTTTCACCTCTAGGACCGTTTTATTGCTGAAAAAAATGATTTCGTTATTACCGACACTTGAACTACATTTCTGTAAAGTTTCAAATTTTTTTTAATTTTCATTTACCCAACTTCCCTTGTAAGGTATACTACAATTAGTTTGACGCAATCTCGAGAATTATAA